CTTTATTTTATTTTGGTCATGAAAATTAACTTGTAGTTGTGAAGTTGCTTATATTTTTATATAATTAGATAACTTCACATGGTGACAACACTGACGTTTTCGTAGATTTACTTTTTCCCGGGAATGCTTCATCTGTTGATATATTCTCATTGTGAACGATTTGTGTATATTTAAATATATTAACCAATGTTGAAAGACATGTATAATGTCAAATCATAACAATACAAATTGTTTAGTCTCAAAGAAAACTTGTAAGATTTCCGCAGTTATTTTTGTTGAATAGGTGCAAATTGGGTACTCGGTGCAATTTGGGAACTGTGACGTTATAGCCATAAGTGTTTATTGCTTTAATAGGTTGAATTGTGCACCTGATAAAAGTATTCAGTAGAGGGAAAATGTTTAAACTGACGCATAAAATATACAGCCGACTGCGGGAGGCAATTATTTATATTGCATCCAAATAATGTGTCAGCAGCTTGAATTTGGAAGGATGTAGCCCACATACTTCCCTATACCTATCAAAAGTCATGGTATTATCATGGGTTATCATAACTCCATATTCCCATAAAATCCTATTTTGGACAATATGGGTGCATACAATATATATGTACCTATAAATGTATCACTCACACTCGAGTCTTCTTTTACAGCTGTTTTATGATTAAACTTACAGAGTGAAAAAAAAAAAACAGTCTCCACCTCCTGGGACTGTTGAAGGTAGATATGTGTCATAATTAATGACAAGATTTGTTGAGAGTTTGTCAAAGGAAGTACAGGATATTTTTTGTTGTTGAAAACTTTTGTTAAGTTTTGAATTTCACCTGCATTTTTCTGTGAGCTACAGGAATAACCGTGATCACATTCAACAGTAACTGTATAACCAACTTCATTATCACTGTAACTTGATATGGGAAATTCTGTAGCAGATGAATAATAGTAGTCATGGTCAACCAGAGGCAGTGCCAGAGGCAGAGCACCGGATTTTACTACCTCCCGAAATTTATTGCTTGCAGAGGGTTTTTCTGTGTTCCCATGGCTGGACGGAACTTTTACACTACAAATGTTATCATAAATTATGATATTGTAACTTTTAAATGAAGTACCTGTGGTTATTTAGGAATTTTGTCACTGATATAAATGGGAAGATGAAGCAGACGATGAAACATGCATGGCGTAAGATGTTGTTGTCCAAACTTCGGTTATTTCCGTGGTACAATAAAATTTAAATAAACTACACAAGTTACTAAAATTTCTAAATTCTTGTTTTTGTAAACAAATAAAAATTAATGTCGTATTTAAATTGAATTTATTCCGTTTTGTCCCGTTTTTTCAAGATCGCGATTAAACGAGAATCTGGCAGCCATTAAAAATATAAGGGTTAAACTAATGTCCTGACAATGTCCTGACGGATATTCCAATGCTAATTTCGTTTTCATTATTTGAAGAATTGACTTTATACTTGGAGCCAAGCAAGAATACAATATTTTTTTAATTAATATAAGGAAAAAAAAAGAAAAAAAATATTTTTAAGAGTTAGATAACTTGATTTGATCAACTTCGAAAAAAAAAATTAAAAAATCGTACGAGATTTAACGAGAGTGACGAAACTTTTTAGATTGGTCATGTAGAGAGAGTTATCGTTCTTTATTCCAATTCGATGCTTCTACCATAAGTGCCAGCTAAAGCTGGCATAATATTTACTCCCAGTACAGACAAACCTGCACATCTGCATAATAACAATTGTCATAATAGAAGGGATCCCCTGATTTTGGCGATCCCTGAACATGGTATAAAATTTTATTCCAGTATTGTTAGTTTTTTCAAAATAATAGATGAGCATGATGAGTGTATACCAGTATTGTTAGAAATAATGATGCTCTTAAATTATGGTATACCAGTATTCAGGTATTAAAAGTAGCCTGATGCAACAAAATATTTCATTATGATCAATAGTTAGCTGATCTTTCATTTTCCATGTTTACAATAAAGAGCTAATAAATGAAAAAAAAACGTTCATTTAATTTCATGAAAATCTGATGTATAGTTTTTTCAAGAAACAATATTTTGAAGTTGTTGAATATGTAAATTCTTTTGACTATTATCATGATTATCATGATTATTGGACCTTTTCTATGTTAATGTTTTATAAGTGTAATCGCACGAAAAACTGTTAAAAAACTAGATTAAAACTGGTGTTTGTTTATTTTTCCATCTCTTGCTGTAAATCCATGACAATTGCCCTCGACATACTTGTCGAAATTTTCTACATACAAGTCCAACTTATCACTGCTTATATTAACTAACTTATATGACTGATGAAAAGAAGTTTAATCCAGCAGAATACAGACATGCCAACTCACGCCAATGATAAAAAGGAGGTCAATCTCCCAGAAAAAAAAACCTGGAAACTTACCCCACCGATACTATAACATCATGAACATGTATAACATGTTCAGCGGTATATTTTTTATATTTTAGCATCCCATTATTATATATTCTATATTTTTTTGGCCCATTTTTTTTTCAGCTGGGTTAAATGTGTGCATACTGCATATTCTATATACAAAATATATATATATATATATTATCCATGTTATCTATGGGGCGAGTTTGTGGGTCTAGTTTCAGCAGGAATTAATTCCTTTTCATCTGTGTGACAAGTTGGTGTGATTCGGTTTAAAAGTTGGGGCGAGTTGGTGGTGTTACGGTCAGAAATTGACTTTTTAATTCATGAAATTGTAACCAACAAAAGACAAAAATCAATAATAAATTTAACAAGATTTATTATACTATTTTACAAGAAATATTATACAAATTGAAATATCAACTTAACTGTTAAAATATATGTCCGATCCTTAGTCTTTTCTTTATCCGGAATTCTTCTCTTAACTAAAACTGAATATGTCCAATAAGTTCACAATCTACATGTAGTATGAATGGAAGTAGTTAACGTAAATAAAAATGTCAATCCAACAACTCCAGAGAACTTCTGAAAATACAAGTATATTTAAAATGTATAATCTGCCCGTCTTACTTTGGTGTCTGTATATTTGGAAAATGTTGTTTGTGCTGTATTTAGACCCCTCTAACAAGAAATTTGTTTTGCATGCACACGTATAAAAATTTCGGTTTTTATCCAACGCAATCATAGGTTTGAACGTTGTTTTCAATTTAGACTTGTTTATATTTTTTCGTTTGGGCTTGTATTATATTTGCCTTCGGGTTTATATGATCCGTTCATCCTATTTTGACTCCTCAAAATTCAAGAGTCTATCCTAAATTGAAGTTATATTGTATGGCTTTCCAAATACAGTTTCGATTCCTAACATCACTGAACATGCTGAAGAGACATTATTTGTCGAAATCCGGATATGGTGTACAAAAATCTTCGCACCTTTTGTTTGCGGTATATCATCTTTTCCGCAAGTTAATTGTTTTCTGTTTAGTATTAAATTTATAATTAAGATCCATTTATTACATTGGTGATCTGTTTATTTGGCAATCGCCAATGGCAGTCAGCAGGGTTTAAGAACATTTGTTGTTCGACCTGTTAGTCAAATGCGTTTTGTTAAAATATACTTTTTCACTTTTTTGGTCTTTTGGAAAATGTTGTTTGTCATGTTTGTGCTGTATTTAGACCCCTCTAACAAGAAATTTGTTTTGCATGCACACGTATAAAAATTGCGGTTTTTATCCAACGCAATCATAGGTTTGAACGTTGTTTTCAATTTAGACTTGTAAATATATATATATATATATAGTTGTCACGAAAACTTCTAGAACACTGTAGAAGGGAAACTCCTAGAAAACTATAGAACACTATAGAACTTAAACTTCTAGAAAACTAAACTTCTAGAAAACTAAACTTCTAGAAAACTATAGAACTGAAACTTCTAGAAAACTATAGAACTGAATCTTCTAGAATACTGTTGAAAGTTTAAATTACACATCATAGATTATGATCATTACAGAATTATTATGCAAGTCAAATAGAAAGTTCTAATCATTCCATCAGTATCTATGATTGTTCCAGTGATTTCTAAACTGCACAGTTATAACATTATTTTGCAAACAACTATAAGGCCACACAAAACAAATTAGGCCAAAATAAATAAACATGATAATAACAATATCATAACAGAGGAAAGTTGGTGAGTTGTCTTGATTCTTCTGCCTTCAGCCTTCTGCAGTTTTTAATTTTCTGAAAACACATATATATAATGCAATGACTTGCAATGCATATGTAAGATTTTTTTTATTTGTCATTACCTTATCATGTTTATGATGAACCTTAAATTTCTCTTCAGACTTCCTGAAATATATCAGACAAATCTGACAATTGTTTTGCTAAGGAGACAACATGCACAAATATTTACCTTTCACTAGCATGATTAGTCCAGGTGTTTGCTAATGATCATGATGATAACAGATTTTCTCCAAATTTTAATTGAAAGGATGAATCATTGTAGTTTGTCTGACCGATGTCTGTTTGACAGTCCTTTGTCATGTTTGTTGATTTTAAGGAGCTTAAGTCTTCTCCAAAGTGATGAAATAAATTCACATTTTTAGAGCTGCTGTGTAAATATATATATATATATATATCATGTATGCGTCTGTTTGTTTTGCTCACACATTGTTGTCAATATAATGGAATTCTATGCAACTGTCATACAAGTGAGAGGTTTAGCTAGCTGTAAAACCAGGTTTAATCCACCATTTTCTACATAAGGAAATGCCTGTACCATGTCAGGAATATGACAGTTTTTTCCTATTCATTTGATGTGTTTGAGCTTTTGATTTTGCCATTTTATAAAGGACTCTCCGTTTTGAATTTCCCTTGGAGTTCGGTATTTTTGTTATTTTACTTTTTTTTGTAATTTTTCCTTATTACAGCCATTGTACACAATAAAGCATCAGTGATGATACCAGGACAGAATCAGTTACTGTTTAATCTTGATGTCAGAGCTGCTGTGTATATTTGTAATTTTTTCTTATTACAGCAGTTGTACACAGTAAAGCATCAGTGATGATACCAGGACAGAATCAGTTACTGTTTAATCTCGATGCACATCCTCAACCTTACCAATCTGCAGTCCAATTTCATCATCCTAGAGCAATAGTATTGGACAAAGGGGGACCAATGGCACCAGACTTTCAGGTGAGGCTCATACATTGACATATTTGATGACTATAAAATCTTATACTGTAAACATGAATGTTTTGATGGGATGTTATTTTCAACATTTCTATGCATAAAATGTCCATGGAGAGGGGGGGTAAATTTGCACAAATTATTTGCAGGGTTGGAGATATTTTATGCACAATATTTGTGATTATGAAATAAGTAAAAAGACCCCCTGATTGAAAATTTTATTGTTCGCAGTTTTTATATGACCGCAAAAAATTTCATATATTGGTATCACGTCGTCGTCTGCGTCAGCTTCATCCGATTACATTTGGTTTCCGGACAATAACTTTAGTTTAAGTGTATGGATCTCTATGAAATTTAACGAAAAGGTTCAATATCACAAAAGGAAGGTCAATGAAGGTTGGGATTGTTTTTTTCAAAAGAAAATTCTCTTCAAATATTATTTTTTTTGGAGGGGGGTAAAAACAAAAAAAAATTTTGCCTCAAGATTTAAGAAATTGTCAATTTTCCAAAGAAAAAAATTCGAAGTCACAATTTATTTTGCTAATTCTTTGTATATAGCTATAGTCTGAAAACAGATTTACTAAGTATTGCGCAACAGGACAGTGTATTGCACAACAGCAAGAAATCTTCAATTGAATATAAATTCAAATCATACAACCAATTTCAAGTTCTTTGACTACATTTATTTGTGTCAGAAATCAATAATGTGTTAAATATTTAATTACAATCCAAATTCAGACCTGTATCAAGCTTGAATATTGTGTCCATTTTTGCCCCAACTGTTCAGGGTTGGATCTCTGCGGTCGTATCCAGCTGCGCTCGACGATGCAAGTTTATTAAATTATGAAGCAAGCGTTATTCAATGTACTTTATCTCATGATTTCACCAGTAAACATGGTAAAGAATACGAATAATTGAATACTGAAATACATAATATACATGTAAAAAATAATTTTATATTTTATATTGTTTTTTTTTCCAGCATATTAACCAGCGTCATCTCAATGAAAGTTCCCAATCAGTAACTGGAGGGATGAATTTCTCATCATTGTCTGAAGATCGTTTATCATTAGCTGTCAAACTAGCTCAGAGAGATTTAAGGAAAAAGAAGGAAAGAAGTCTACAGCGGAGTCGATCTCCTTCTCCAAAGGGAAAAACCAGAATAATTCCTGGGAAAAGATACTGGGACAAACAGCAGGCAGCTACAAATAAATCACGACAGATGAAGATAAAAGAACATGATAAAAACCGTCATCCAAAAGATGCTAGAACACAAACACCTCCCAGAATGCAACAGAGTAAAGCATTTCCTGGTTTGTATTGCACTAGACTTTTACATTCTACAATGCATTCAAAATTTAATGTTTTACAATTTAAAATTCCCTCTGCAACGTTTCGTTACTGATTATGCTTAATCAACACTATACTGGGTCCTTATGTATACATGTCATTGGTACTAGTTTATAGATTTTACAGTTGGTAACTGTTTAGAGGGTATTCATCAATTTTTTTTTCAGCTGATCTTTTAAAAGTTACCTGTGATTTTATTCAATTATAACAAATTTCAAGTACACTGAAATGGTACATGTATCTGTGATCACAACAGTGTTCTTCCCAGGCCCTTAAAGCACCATGGACCCAGGGCCTATATTATCTGAGCGTGGTCCTATATTTCTGGCCTGTGGTGCTATGTCTTTATGGTAAACAAATTATATATCTGTTAAATTTTATCCGACATCTTTGCTAAATATTATGTGTGGTATAATATTCCAGGTGAATTTTAACCAGCACATTGATTGTTTACAACATGTTATTGACTTACCTGATAAGGTTGACCTGTTATTGATTGAATTTAATCAATAAATTGGCACTTTTAACTGGATTATTTTGTGTTTTTTAATGGGTTATTGATAAAGAGATATAGGCCTCTATGAATTAATATGTGTACAAAATGCCATTTATTTTACTACTTACAATGTAATTTTACCATAACTTATTCTATTTCAGCAACAACTAATTCTCCTCCTACTAGAGATACAGACTTTAAGTTGTATCCAGTCAAACGATCAGCACCATTAGATCAGCCTGCTAAGGAGATAGAGAGATTACAAAGAGAGATGGAGGGCTATTTACAACAAATACAGGTCATTGAACAGCGAGTTCTTAGAGGTATATACACACTATCATGACTATGAATTGAAAAAAAACACACCTAAAATCTGAAATTACCTTTGTAATTAGAAATTGCCTCTTCTATGTGAAATATTACTAATACAAAACATTGTTTGTTGCCAATTTTCCTTTTTGTAATGATAAAAACCAAATTATCTGTAGTTTTCTCATTTGAAAGGAAAAAATAATATATATCTATTTAATGCTGCATTACTTATACAAAACGAATGTTGTACATGTATTATTACTGATCTAACAGGAGAAAATTTAATTGGAAAAGAAAATTATTTATAAATAATAATAAAATAGGTAGAAATTATTAAATACATTTAAGGATGTACACCTCTGAGGAGCCAAAAATTTCTAAAATTAAACTTTTTTTCTTAACCTGATTTTTGGGTTTATATGACTGTAAAAAAATAATTTGTGAAGAAAAAATCTTATGGTGGTGCACTTCTTTTTTTGCTATGGCCCTTTGAAAGTACCTTATTTTGATGATTTTCCCATTTTTCAACAATTTTTACCTATTTTTGGGTATTATCGTGAAAAAAAAATCACAGTTCCACAATTAAACTTTTTTTCATACTTTCAATAAAGATGAAGTGGACCAATCTGAAATTTATAAATTTAACTAAAAAAACTATAGGTAGGTGTTAATATAAGAAAGTTTTTTCATATTTTGATGCTTCTTTGTGTCAAATTTACCATGCTGTCAATTTTTTAAATTTGTGATTTTTCTCAGTTTTAAGAACAAAATGCATATTATTTCAACTTTTCTGTTATAAATGATTGAAAAAATACATATCTAAGAAATTTGAAAAGAAAAAAATGATATGGATGTACATGATTCTGGTAAAATCATTTTTTGTACCCCTCACCCATTTTCTCAAAATTTTGGCTAAAAAGACTGACTTGATTGGTCGTAAAATTTGAAAAATTGATTACTCAAAAACTACTCATTGTAAATACAAAATTTTTTCACAGAGTTAAGTTTAATTATAACATTTTTGTCGAGCCTGCGACTTTTGTCGCAGAAAGCTCGACATAGGGATAGTGATCCGGCGGCGGCGGCGGCTACGGCGGCGGCGGCGTTAGCTAACTTCTTAAAAGCTTTATATTTTAGAAGGTGGAAGGTCTGGATGCTTCATACTTTGTATATGGATGCCTCATGTTACGAAGTTTCCGTCAGTCACATGTCCAATGTCCTTGACCTCATTTTCATGGTTCAGTGACTACTTGAAAAAAAAGTTAAGATTTTTTGTAATGTTAGATTCTCTCTTATTATAAGTAATAGGATAACTATATTTGGTATGTGCATACCTTGCAAGGTCCTCATGCCCGTCAGACAGTTTTCACTTGACCTCGACCTCATTTCATGGATCAGTGAACAAGGTTAAGTTTTGGTGGTCAAGTCCATATCTCAGATACTATAAGCAATAGGTCTAGTATATTCGGTGTATGGAAGGACTGTAAGGTGTACATGTCCAACTGGCAGGTGTCATCTGACCTTGACCTCTTTTTCATGGTTCAGTGGTTATTGTTATGTTTTTGTGTTTTGGTCTGTTTTTCTTATACTGTATGCCATAGGTCTACTATATTTGGTATATGGAATGATTGTAAGGTGTACATGTCTAGCGGGCAGGTGTCATCTGACCTTGACCTCATTTTCATGGTTCAGTGGTCAAAGTTAAGTTTATGAGTTTTGGTCTTTTCTTCTAATACTATATGCAATAGTTCAACTATATTTGGTATGTGCGTACCTTGCAAGGTCCTCATGCCCTTCAGACAGTTTTCACTTGACCTCGACCTCATTTCATGGATCAGTGAACAAGGTTAAGTTTTGGTGGTCAAGTCCATATCTCAGATACTATAAGCAATAGGTCTAGTATATTTGGTGTATGGAAGGACTGTAAGGTGTACATGTCCAACTGGCAGGTGTCATCTGACCTTGACCTCATTTTCATGGTTCAGTGGTTATAGTTAAGTTTTTGTGTTTTGGTCTGTTTTTCTTATACTGTATGCCATAGGTCTACTATATTTGGTGTATGGAATGATTGTAAGGTGTACATGTCTAGTGGGCAGGTGTCATCTGACCTTGACCTCATTTTCATGGTTCAGTGGTCAAAGTTAAGTTTTTTCAGTTTTGGTCTTTTTTTCTAATACTATATGCAATAGTTCAACTATATTTGGTGTATGGAAATGTTTTATGATCTATATGTCAGTCACGCAGGTTTTATTTGACCTTGACCTCATTTTTACGGTTCATTGCTCAGTGTTAAGTTTTTGTGTTTTGGTCTGTTTTTCTTAAACTATAAGCAATAGGTCAACTATATTTGTTGTATTGAAGAATTGTTAGCTGTACATGCCTGCCTAGCATGGTTCATCTGACCTTGACCTCATTTTCATGGTTCTTTGGTCAATGTTTAGTTTACTTGGTTAATGTTAAGTTTATGTGACAGTTGTAATAAAGCTTTATATTTAGGACTATCAACATAATATCAATGATTAGTAAAGAAGGCGAGACATTTCAGCGTGTGCACTCTTGTTAAAATTCATTGATATTTTCCACTTGTATCACATATTTTGGAAATAATTTCGGAACGAGATTTCAACGAGACTGAAACGTCAGAAGAATACATCCTTAAGTGAAGTGATTTGGTTTCTTACACAGGTCTGTTGTTAGTAACAGTAAATGAATAGGGGACAATCTAAATTTTACCTTGAAATGAAAGTATGTTCATTATGATATTCATAAATGCCATACAATCCAATTTTATTTTTTTACAGATCAAAATGTAGAATTTCTCCAGCCTTCAAAAAGTCGGAAAAAAGATGGATACTTGCCACAGGAAGAAGATGAAGTTAGGAAGAAATTACGATCAGAAGAAACAGCTACTCGTGCTGCCAGACAAATGTATGTGCTTCGTCAACAAGTTCGACAGATACAGCAGGAATTAACAAAGACCGGCACAGATAAAACTAAACACACGAAAAAGGTGATAAAGTTTGTACACAACAACAACAACAGTACTTTATTTTATATGTTTTAAGAGGGTTACACAGTTAGCTAAACAAAAACACCTTTATTGCAGAATTATAAATGATGTTCTTGAGGATCAGTTAACAGAGAGTACTATCTGGCTGGATTGCACAGTAAAAATTTGTGACCTTAAGCTGCATGAACTTTGAATATTTGTATTAAAAAATTGTCTGCACATAAATGAGTACAGAACATCCATTATTGCTAAAAAAAACTGTGAATTCATTATAACCATTAGGTATAATTTTTATACCCCTGCACTGAATGAGAATGGCTGTATTGTTTACCACTCTCTGTCATATGGAACTTTCATCACAATTTTCTTAAGGATGTTCTGTTTCAAAATAACAACCTATTTAAAAGACCATTATAAATTGATTATATATAAATAATAGAACTTAAAAAGTAGAAAAAAAGACATGTCCTTGTTTTGAGATATAATCGATTCAAAATTTGGCAGGAAATGATTCTCTCTAGATTTTTCATACATTTAACATTGACACTTTTTATCTATTAAAAACTATGAAAAAATAACAAGGATTTCATAAGATTTTCAAAAATAGCTTTTTAAACTGATTAATAAATTTATGAAAAGAAAAGTAGCGATTAGTAGGCAAAAATTTTATTGACACTAAATGGATAAAACAAGAGGATTCTGATTATCTGACAAAAAGTCAAAAAACCAGAGTAGTGAACATTATTAAGAATTTGAAATCAGATCTTTCTGAGAAGCCAACTTCCTGCGTCCATGCTCCACTTTGTAATGCTTTAACATCTTAATCACTCATCAACTAGCTGTTAACGGAATACTTATATATTCTTCCAAATAATGGTCACATATGAAATTTTGTTACATTTGTCTTCTTGAAATTTGGTATAGCTTCATGTGAGCATGCTATAGGGTGTGATACCTTTTTACATTCATCCTTTATCAACTTCCTGTTAACATACACTTATAGTGCCGCATCATTTGCCAGTAATTAAAGTACACATTTCAACTCTTCAATGAGCATTACTGTAACATTTGCTATAAGTAAAAAAAAGATCTGCCGGAAATTGTAGGTAGAATTGGTTAAAACGATATCAATTTTTATCTGTCTACATTTTTTTTAACATAAATTGGCAGTGATATATATAATTTGTTTATAGGGATATGTAAGAAAATATTTATAAATGATATAAAAAAATCATAATTCTACCAGATTTTTCATTTTAATAATACATTTTTATAACTTGATTACAGAGCCAAGCCATGGCAAGACTGGCAGCAGCACATCGTTATGCAGTGAGAACTATCCAGGCATTTGTTACAAACCTACCAAACACAGATTTACACAGTGGTCTGCCTTCTTCATACCATGAGTTAGCTCTTTTGATCCGCCAGATGTCACTACTCAGTACACAGCTAAGTACTGATGGGAAATCAACAGTACAAGAAGACCTAGTCAAAATGTTGGACAGAGTAGATGTAAGGAAGTCATACATTTTTAATTAAATGTAATTGGTTGCCATTTTGAAAACTCACAAGTTATCTCCCTTTTCCAATTTTAGTCAGCAAACCACATCGCTCAGTTGACCTACATGATTTTAGGCCCAGATGTTTTCTGATTTTTTGAAGAAAAAAGATTTTGCATTTTTGCTCTCAAGAATTGAGAATTCATTGGACTGAATACAATCTGTGAATGAATGCATAATCTTCCAGCAGTCTGGTTAATTGTTAGAAGCTTACAATTTTTATTCAGCTACTTATAAGTCATGTTATAGACTGTTATGAATGAATGAAGGTTCACTAAATTCAATTAGTTGCAGCTACAATTATAAAAAAAATTCAACAGTGTAGTTAGTAATTTCCATTTACTACAACTATATGTTCTGTTTTAAACATAGAAAATTTATATAACTTTGAAGAGTACAACTTTTCATTTATTACCTTAAAAACCATTCTCATTGAGAAGCTTGAGAAGAAAAATTATCACACAGAAAAATTGAAGCAAAATGTAAGAAAGTAGTAATGAAAGATACATGAACATATCACTTATTAAATTATTATTCTATTTTGAAGGAGCTGAATAAAGCATGGTGTGTAGAGGTTACCAAGCCACCTGTTATTGAGACAACACAAGAAGAGGTTACCAGTAGAAGAAGGAAGTCTCCTGCATCCCGGCAAATACCTCAGCCTTCCTTCAGACCAGCTCCACATAGAGGGAAGGAAAATAAACCTGTCAGAGGTAAAAAAAAACACGGAAAAGAAATCTTTGCTTGATAATAATTTAAAATGAGAATTTCTTTTATATCTAGTATATCAATTGCAGCCGATTTAAAATAAAATTGAGAATTAGAAACGGGGAATGCATCAAAGAGACAACAACCCGACCAAAGAGCAGAAAACAGCCCAAGGCCACCAATGGGTCTTCAACACAGCAAGAAAATCCCACACCCAGAGGTGGTCTTCAGCTGGCCCCTAAACAATAATGGAAAATGGACTTCATACTTAACTCCCAAACATATATATTAACCAAAATTAAAATACATACAAGACTATTGCTTACATCCACTTTAGTGAACTTTAGTAGATAGTTGTCTCATTGGCAATCAAGCCTCATCTCCTTATTTTTATAACAAAGGCCAGAGGTTCCTGACTTGGGACAGGCGTAAAAATGTGGTGGTGTTAAACATGTTACCTGATTAAGGAGGTTGGCTGCTCTGTTTCAAAACAACAAGTTTTTAAAAAAACAGAAATTGATAGTATATAGATATTTGAACTAAAAAAGCAGAATAAAATGAAAGGTCTTTGTCCTTGTATTTTAGATAGAAGCTATTGAAAATTTGGCAAGGAATGATTCTCTAGATTTTTCATACATTTAAATATTTTACACCTAGGGGTTAGTGGGTTCAGTTTTTAATGTCACTACATGGATAAAAACAGAGGATTCTATATATCTGACAAAAAGTCAAAAACAAGATCAGCGAACATCTTCAAATACAGTTTTTGTTTTAAACATATACAAGTTATTGGTACATCACAATAATCAATTGAACATCTAATGTCAAATATTATTGTAAATTGTCAATTTATTTGTAATAGGTGTTTTAAAGAAGCCAGCTATTAAAAGAAGTAATGTACAAAAACAGCAAGGTAGGGACAGAAATCAATCAGTGAAGTGAAAAATGAGAATTTTTAATGGTGAAACCCAATTTGAGGTGGTACATAACACTACAGGGAGATAACTCTTTAAAAATAAGCTGAACATTTTACTTACGTTCCATTGTTAAGGAAATATTAGGCTCCTCAATGATCAAAATTAGTGTTTGTCAAACAGCTATATATCCAAGAAATTTTTCCGTTAATGTTTGTGGTTCAAGTTTTTTGAAATTTTTATATTTTTGTCAAATGGTCAACGAAAATATTTTGTCAAAATTTTATGAAATTAAATTAGCCAATTTAATTTAGTCCAGTTGTTTGGTACCACCTTAAAGCTTTATATCAAAAAATTTGGTCATAAAACATAATTTCCAGGATAAAATACTTAGAATAAATAAAGTGAAAATCAGTATTTCATGACAAGAAGAAAATTGTTCGTTTCTGTTGTTGGGCTAAGGACAAAAAGAACTCAGTATCAAAAGATTGATGTCAGATAAAATAAAAGTTTGTGCTGTAGGTTAAAATCTTTGCGTTTCTGGCGGTATTATCTAGAGATGTTTTTACCTAAAGAAATTTTGAAATTTTTATGAATGAAATTATAGAATTTACTTAAGAATGGAGGAGTATTTCATTTTACATGAGGAAAGATGATTGGACAATATCAGGACAGAATAAATTATATTGACGATTTTTGACAAGTTTTATTTGTCTGCAATTAATCAACATTATGTAAATTAAGTTTTGGGATATGAGAGAATTTGGGTTCTTGAAAAAAGTAGTAAATTAACTTTTTAATATTATTTGATAAAGTGTTAATGTAACTCCTAAAAACTTGATTTCATTTGATTAATTTAAAAGTAAATATAAAAACTCAAGATAGAACTGATATGCACTTTTTTTTAATTAAAAAATAATTTCTTACAGTTGCCTGGAATACTGGAACTCCAGAGAGGAAGGCAATGTTGAGGGCAGGTATAGAGGCCTTGATGGATTCCAGTGATGTTCAACAGGGCAAAGCAGGAATGGCATGGAATGTATCACTACAGGAGGAACCCGTTAGGAAACCAGCATCTAAAACAAGCCTGATATTACCAGGAAAATTACAGGTAAAATTTGTGCCTAGTTCACTTCTATAATAGTGCATGTGGGGATTTTGAAATGACAGCCAAAAGCTTAGAAGCCAATTGGGTCCTATCAACAACAATTTAAGGGCCATTTTTTATGATGACAAGAAATAAAAACTAACTGCCCAGTTTGATAATTTAGTCGTTATGCCTGATTGGATGAGTGTGCTGTGTATTGTATTAACTGCCTTTAAAATATATATGACAACATCTTAGAAAAAAAATATGTTTGTAACTTTTAAATTTAAGGTAAAATTTGATGTGCATGATAATCAATAAAAACTATGTAAGACATAATGCTATTTTGTCAAGTGCAAAGAAGTTACAGATGAACTTATTGTTTCATAAATGAAGTTGATTAAGCCATTACTGTGTTGATTTCTAATAAAGAGGTGAATATGCACCTGTATACAGTCCTGTCAGGAGGCATTAATGATTTCTAATCATTTTACCAACAAGATGCAGGGTGTAAAATAAATAAATTTGAGTGAAAAGCTGTCTATAGTAATATTTACAATCAGACATCAAGATTATTTGAGGATGTCATCTACTGACACTTCCTGATGAACAAATTTTTGAATGATAGCTTAATGCTGCCTTAACACAAAAATCTTCTGAGGAACTGTGAATTTTAAATCTTAACATATAATACAAGATGTAGAAAGATTATCAGATATTTGAATTTAGAACTACTATACTTATTCAAATTTTTATTAAGGTTTTCTTTTTCTAACCTTATGTATGCAAAATAACTTCACAGATTATATCATGAAAAAACCAAGAGAAGTCATAATTATAATTGATATACAATATTTTTTTAGAATCAGCGCATTAAAGCTCAGAGAGCTGTTAAACAAGTTCAACAGCATCAGCAACAGCAGAAGTCATTGGCATGGCAACCACAGAGACCAGCACTGTCACAACAGACGTCAAAGCCTCATTATGAATCAGACATAGATGTACATTACAGAGACCCAACACTGTCATCAAGCTTGAAGGCTTTGGCCACCAGAGACAGATCTTTGTCACCATACAGATGTGATAGGTCATTCTCAGCTCCCCCGTCTCCAAGGTAAACAATAATTGTTGTTAAGGAATGGTGGTTAAATAAACAATTTTCTTGCATATGTTACAGGAGATTAAGACATTAAAAAAAAATGATAGGAAAATAAAATTTTGGAAGCAGACCAGGTATAAGAGTATTTAGAATTTTAGTTAAAACTTCACGGAAAAATATTTCTTAATGAGCCGGTCTTTATCCTTCATATAGTTTGATATGAGTTGTATCTTGTAAATAGATATTCCCTTAAAAGAGTATGTGACATGATTTGTAACCTCATATAGAACCTCTTACAAAAAATAATTGACCATTGCAGTATTTTTTTGTTACAATTCAAAGTAATTTATTTTAAACAGATGCATTTCTAATGAGTGCTTTTCTTAACATTTACAGCTCTGAGAGAGGTCACAGCCCATGGATACCAAGTGGTAAACCTAAAGGTCACCAGAGAAGGTCAAGGTCACAGAGTCCTTACAATTCATACAGATACTTAGATCTTGATGGCAGTGATATAGTCAAGTAAGAGTTGATTTTTTTTGGAAAAATGCAAAATCTCCAACTTGAAAATGAAAGAAAGGCATGCTTTTATTTTGTGTTTCTATAAATATATATGAGGCAATGCCAAATATTCCAAGAGTTTTCACAACAGTTGGAGATGGTTGCATCTTTAATATTACCAATTGGAAAACTTTTTATTTAAGGAATGACTGTAATATTTTTTCTGTCTATGAAGAAATAACATCAAAAATGTGGTGCACACAGAATAACTCGAGTAGCGAGTTATTTTAAAGTGTGCACCACATTTTTTATGTTATTTCAAATAGACAGAAAAAATATTACAGTCATTTCTTATAGTTTAATTCTTAATTCCATTAAAACCGGAGTAAATCATGAAAAAACGTTGATGACGTCAAGGTCACATGACAAAATTTTGTCTATGAGCTGATAAAAAAAAACAACATCTGCCAATCGGAAGACGTGTTACATCCAAAATTTAATTATTACATTTTGCTAGTAACTGTTGATTCATTATGATTCAGGGATACCAATTTTCATTACCACATATCTAAATATTCCACGTAGTACAAGTTCCACGAAAATATAATTTTTCATCAATTAACCATAGTTGGTATTCATAGAAATAAATGAATCTACAATATAAGTTTATTTATCAGTATCCAGATTATTTATTTTTAATTTTGAGATTTTTTTATGTGCAGTGACCTAACTAAATCTCTCAGTGTAATTATACAGTGATTGATTGGGTAAGAGGACAACACAGTCAAACAAAACATATATTGTCTGTTGACATGGGCAACACATGTTATTAATTACCTTTTGTTTCTGGAAAGAAGAGTTTCCTTAATATCTTTTTAATTATATATAGAATTACCTGTTTTTTAATCTTTAAAGATGTGTATTTGAATTCTATTTATATTTCAGGTCACTTTTCCAAGGTGGTCATGTAAGTTATCTATATTGATGTATTTTTTATCAATTACGTTATTGAAAAAAAGAAACAAATTTATGCAGGAAATGAGGAAAATGATATGTAAGGTTTTACCTCAATGCAAAAACAACCCAACAACACAAAACACATAAGATGACATATGGTCCAACAATTTGACAAGTGTCAAATTAGATTAAAATTCAGATCCAGTATCCAGGCTTTGCTTACAAGCATCTGACAACACTATATTGTACCCTCTGTTCTGGTAATAAATACATCAGCCAATGAAATGTCAGCCTACAACTGTCTGAAGGTGTGTATCATTATGTCAAAACCAGAGGATCCCGAAAGGTCTATAAAAATGAAAGTAGAACTGAGCTTTGGCAAATCCTTGTAGTCAAAGTGCGGACACAGGATTTATAGTTTTTATCAGATTGACTAGACTTTAGGCAAATACTGTGAAAGGTTCCCATCAGCATCAAAATCCAAAAAAAAAAAAAAATTTAAAATGTATGATGGAAATTTGGATCTTCAAAACTAATAAGAATATTATGCATTGTCCGCTATTTATACAGAAATATTCAGAACAGCCAAACTATCATATTTCAAAATGTTGATTTGATTTAACAAACACAAAATCTGGAGTAGCAGGACAATGAATTTAATAAAATATTCCTCACAGGATCAAGATATATGAATGATATTGTAAACTTTGTATAAATTGCATTTTTAAAGTGATTAAAAACTCAGAATTTTGAATTTCTAGAAAAAGCTAAATTTAAGCTTTATAAAGTTCTGATCATAAATTGGCTTTCTCATGTTAAGCGCATATGTTTTAAAACAGATGAAGAGGTATGCATATTTTGGGACAATGTTGAAATTTGTTTGATGCAATACAAAGATTGTAAACTTTCAATAAATTATTTTTTTGTTTGACATTGATGCTTGGTTACTGATACACTCTATGATCATATTTTACAGGAAAGTAGACCAAGAACAAGAGGAGGGTCACCAGAAAGGTAAACAATGGGGTTACTGTGGCTATTTGATATAAATTGTAAACAGAGGGGAAAACAATCTAATGAATTTTATTACTTCTGTCTCAATGAAGAGTTAAAATTTTCTTTTCAAAAGCTGTTTTATAATAATAACAGTGCAACTATACCATGCGGACACCAAGGCTGTTTTAGTCTAAAGCTTCTTATAACAATTTTACAAAAATTGACATAATGAAAAAAACCTTCATATTTTCTTCTTCCAGTTAAAGATTTTAGATTATATGGTATACATATTATTTTATGCATAGTTAAGTTTTAGCTCACCTTCTTCAAAGGGCAAGTTTGAGCTTTTGTCATCACATGGTGTCAGTCGTCATCCCTCTTCACCGTCCTTTTACTTTTACAAAGATTATCTTCTCTGCCACTACTTGACTGCAATCATCAATGTGGTATATAGTTTTAAAAATTTGTCTGATGACCCAGCTTGCTGACAAACATGGCTGACATGGCTTAAAATAGAACATAGGGGTAAAATGAAAGTTGTGTCTATTATCTGGAAAACTGCTACAGATAGAGAAAATCTGACAGTGCAAAAATGTCAAAAATATTGAGATCTACATAATGTTTATCTACATTAAAACTGTAGAACAACCTCTTATAGAACTTTTGCATTTTTGCATATTAGCTAGAAAACTATAATAGATGGATACAAACTTTAAAGGCAAACATGATCAGCAAGACAAGATCTACAAAAAAGACATAAGTACAGAAATTTTCAGTCATTTCGTTATTGAAATAATTGCTCTTTAATTGTAATTTTATATACATTTTGCATTTTTTGCCTATTATCTTTTATTTCCTCCAATTATATTTCCAGAAACCTCAGTTTATCAGAGAGAATGGTGAGAGATGCTGAGAAGAAAATACAAGCTAGATTGAAGCCACTTTTACAAAAGGCAGAGGTATAAATGTACACCAAAGATAATTGCCTTGTTATGCATATGCATACTACTTCTTCTTTTCTGTATCTTCCTCCTGCTAATGAGGAACACATCATACATTCTTGTTAATGATAGTTGTTTAAAATATGATGTCCATTCAGCTTTGAATACATGGTAAAATGAATCTTTTAACTCTCGTGGAAAATCCATTCATAACGTCTTTATGGTTTGCCAAAAATAACAGTCTTGGATGAATATCTTTGTCACAAAATTTGTCACAGTGTATACCTTTTAAAAGAATGAAACCCTCAGACCTCAACCTCTTGTGTTTTTTATCAAATGCACATAATTCATTTGCCAAGTATGAAAGTTCTGAGGGTTCAGTCTCAAATGGGTAGTGTTCACAGAAAGATGGAAGGACAAAGAATATCTGCTTCCAAGATTTGGGGATATTAACCAATCGGATGTTCTATGCTTCCAAGATTTTGGGACAATAACCAATGGGATGTTTGCTCATAATCAATTTTGTTGTTGCTCTTAGAATTAACTGACTAGTCTTTTAATAATTTAAAACCATATATTTTGGCCCTTGAACATACTGTGTATTAATTATTATTCATTGGATACCAATGTTCTTGAATTTGGTTGGTACAAGGGACCCACGAATTTAAGTGTTCAATGAATTACAAATTTTTGTATAGAATGTCATGCAGACTTCCACAAAACCATGAAATCAAATATCTGTGAAAAGGCAAATTTTCCTCAATCATGGAAATTTTACCCATGAAAAAAAAAATGAATCCACAGTATGTGGTTGTATAGTCCTTAATGGCTTTCACATTTATGTTATTGTTAAGGTGACTACATATTCAATATTGATTAACAGTTTGAGTAAGGATTGAATAATAAACTACCATTAATTATAATTTATATTTTCAGATAATTGCTTTTCAACAGGAAGAGAAAAGCAAAACAAAGAGGAGACAAATGGCCGATAAAGCTCTAGCAAGTGTTAGTATTTCATCTGACTTATATACTGCATGCAACAATTCATTTACTAAATTTACCCTGAAAAAGGTGGGTTATCCACCTAAGCCAAATTTAGCAAAAAATAGGTGTAAGATACCAATCGGCCATTCAAACCTCATAAGTCAACAATAAACTGATAAAGCTATGTCAAAAAACTTAAAAAGGACGAATAGACAAGTCCACACAATACTACTGTAAATTCAGAAATTATTGCGTGCATTTATTATTGCGATTTTTGGAGAATCAACAAAAATGTTAGATTAATTATTACAATTTATGGACAATCTGAATACAGATATATGTAAATGTATCATATATCAGAATTCGAGTTCTTAGTATTGTGATACTAACCCAGTCGCATTATTCGCATTAATAAAAAACTCGCAATAATTTCTGAATTAACAGTAAATAGAAAGCTAAATACTGAGTAACACAAAAACCACCAAAAACCAAAACATCTTCAGGGCTATTCCATTAAAATGTATGTGGGAGGGTAGGAAGGGAAGTTTAGTTATTGAATGTGGGTCACTGGTCTTTTTTCAGTATGCCTCTATTACCATTATGCAAAATTATCTAAAAAATGGTTCTTGGTTGTAGGGATATTTTGAAAGTCCCTTCCTACCCTCCCACCTACATTTTAATGGAATAGCCCTCAGAGTAGAAAACAATTAACTATAGAAATAGGACATTGTTATCCTTACATTGAATTTTATATATAAATAAAAGTCTTGGGAGATATTTGAAGGAGACAACAACACAATGACACTAAAAATAATAGATTTTGAAATAACAATACTATTGGAATGCATAAAAAAATTATTACAATGATTGATTTTAGTTTGAGGACAGTGGTGACGACTTGACTAACATGATACTGGGTGAGGTACTGGACGATACAGCCAAAGAATATCAAAGGTTAGAGAGAGACGAACATGTCCGTAAAGAGGCCGTCACCATGCAGGATAATCCAACATTAGAAAATATATATCAGAGATTGGAACAAATGGAGGTTAGTAATTTGTTTGAAATGTCAGAGAAAGCTTTAGAATTTGGATACTAGCCAATATAAAAATTAGAAGATGATTGCAAATGAGACATCTCTCAACCAGAGACCAAATGACATAAGTTAACATATATAGTTCACCTTACAGCCTTCAACAATGAGCTAAACTCATACCCCATAGTAAGCTATAAAAGGCCCCAAAAAGACAAATGTTTACAATTCAAAGGAGAAAAATAATGGCCTGATTTATGTATAAAAAATCAACAAAAAACAAAAGCGATACATAGCAACAAACAACAACCACTGAATTATAGGCTCCTAACCTGGGACAGTGGTTTAACAGTACAACGAAAGAGCAAATTAAAAAAAAAAAAAAACAGTTGAAAGGGCTTAATTTATCACTCTAGGTTTTAAACACACACAAACAAAAATATAAAAAACACAAAAGACAAAGTACAGATCGGAGGATACTCACAGTTGCTGAAAGCTAGTTCAAAGCCAATAACAGCTAATAGAAAAATAATGTATCTAAGACTACAATATCAATCTGACAGTTCACATCCAGCATCCAAGAAAGTTAGTGTAAAAATTTCATTAACAAGTCAGAGAAAAACATGAACTTTTGCAATGCCAAAATATAGGTATGGACAGATTGCACGCCAGTGAATGTACACGTTATAACAAAAATATATTTAGTTTTTATATATATTTGATACACATGATGTCTTTTGTAGCTGGAATCACACAATATCAGAAGAAGATGGGCTTCAGTACACTTTGAAGATGTTAAACCTACGACTAAAGGTAGTTTAAGAACATTTCAAGGCCATATACTGTAAATTCAGAAATTTTTGCGATGTTTTTATTATATTGAAAGATAGGTTTTGATAGCATTATTGTTGAGCAAATTTTCTGTTTCTGTTCCAGTGAGATACAACAGTGTAATAATGTTTTCCTCTATTTAACACTTCCAGTGAGAAACAACACTATTATAATGTTTTCCTTTAAACTTCCAGTGAGATACAACACTAAAAAATGTTTTCCTCTATACTTCCAGTGAGATACAACATTATATCAATGTTTTCCTCTATACTTCCAGTGAGATACAACACTATATCAATGTTTTCCTCTAAACTCCCAACTAGAAAAATAGGCTACAATATAATGCTATGGGAAGTGTTGCTCTGACAAAAATTTGTATAGTGTAGAAATCTAGAATTATAGTAGTAGAGGGAGATAGATCATTGCGAATGGATCTCAAATATATAGTTATATATTTATTTACATCAAAAGTGGACATATATAGATCAATATAAGATTCAAACGACAATTTACATTTATTTTATTTCCTATTTCATGTTTATTGATGAACTTTTTATTTCAGTTATCAATAATCCAATAGCACCTTTTTCAATGGAAATATCTAAATCAAAGGGACCTGTTATACAAGAGAAGCCATTGTAAGTAATAGAGTTTTTCAGAAAATATTGAAAATATATCGTTTGACGCTTGTTCCTTTTCTTGTCAATGAAAATAATATTTTTTAAAGGAAAAGAGCCAGGAACCCCAAAAAAATGGCCCTACAAAGGTGTTTTTTTTAACTTCAATTTTTAAACTAAATCTAATGTGTATGTATAGCTTAATGTATGATATTTAAAAGTATGATACAAAAAAATTGTATAACTGCTTCATATTTATAAAGATATTAGCTTAAATAGGAGAAGATTTCATTACTGCTTAACTGAATTTTATAATTTCATAATATCTGTTTAATTTTAATTTTCACCTTAGAATTTTGTAAGTCATAATCTCAAAGTTTTTTTTATCAAGAAATCCATTTATTTCAGAGAATGCAACAAAGATAATTCAGATGTGCCTATTATATTCACAAGAACAAAGGGACTGACATTAGTCAAAAATAGAGTCTTAGAATTAGATGATCTAATAGGGGCGGAGTCAGAAAGACAAGCTCCTCCCACTTTTATATCTCTTTCTGATGAGGTGATGCGAGGCATCTACAGCAGCCAGGAAGCATTTGACAGACATTTAAAGAAGACTTCCCATCATCCTTTAGGAAGATTTGATCCCTGGGTATTGGCTGAAGAGTAAGTCAATCATTTTGAATGTTATGTGGATTATTCATTTTAGTGGGTACCAATTTAGTGGATTGAGGGAAAATTGTATTTTCATGGATATTTTATTTCCTGGTTTTGCCAAAATCTGTATACAAAACTATTGATAATTTGTACTTCGTTGAAAATTTAAATTAGTAGTCTATCTATACCCATGAAAATCACGAAAATTGGTATCCCACGAATAGTAATGAATCCACAGTATAGGAAAATAGGAGATGTGGTATGATTGCCAATGAGACAACTATCCATTAGAGACCAAAGGATGAGGATTTAATCAACTATTGGTGCATTGTATCAATTTACAAGAGCTTTTTGCAGAAAGGGGAAACAATATTTTACATTTCTTCTAATTTTAATATAATTTATGCATTGTTGCAGAGGAGTTGGTAACGAAAAAAATATTTGTAAATAGGTCAGACATACATGTGTTATTAGGTCACTAGCCCAGCTCTTAATTTTTCGCTGTCTACTAAATACTGTAAATTTAGAAATTATTGTGTACATTTATTATTGTGATTATTGAAGAAGGGACAAAATAATTTCAGGAAAATCTGCATACACATATTTGTATCAGATATCAAAATGTGAGTTCTTATTATTGCGATACTCATCGAGCTGCATTATTTTCATTAAAAAAAACCTCGCAATAATTTCTGAATTTGCAGTGTTTGATTCTAGTATATGAAGAAGTTGTAGTTATATTTCATATATTTCTTGATGTAAAATTCCTATACATATGAACAAAAAACTTCGTCCATAACCTTAAGATCTGATAAGAATGCCAGACACTTTTCTAATTTTATGATGAACTGTACAAATTTCAAATATTACAATGGTTTAAGTTACCTCTCTCATATTATGCTTTTATGCATTACTTAGTCAGGTGGTTGAAAATGATTAGACTATATTTCAGTTAAACTGTCTTATACACAATTAACAGGTTCTTTCATTGCTAGCCTATTTATTGTGATATCACATTTTAGTTAGCTTTGTTACTACCCCACTATTGTTGTCCTATTCTGACTCAAGTGTAACTTCGAGAAAGACGAAAAAAAAGGAACCAAATCATCCCTCTGTCTGTTGAAATTTGTTCTCGATTACCAATATTTCTCAATTTTTCATAATTGAATTTAAGATCCCTATCAAATTTGAATATGAAATAAAATATTTATTAAAATTTAATAATTTGAAACTCAGTTTAATTTATTTGTTGATTTCATTCATGCTTACACAAGTTCTAATTATTTGAAACCAATACTTGTAGGGTATCAAACTTGATATTAGATGAGTGTTTAAAAGACATTGCCGGTGAATTGGAGGACACTAACGATGCCATTATGAACCAAGTGTGTAAGGCAGAATTTATGGTCGGTAACGTCAGTCAAGACGTGGAATCTCTCCCAGAAACAAAAACGACCACGTATGAAACTGACCAGGCGAAAATTACAACTTATGAAACAGGACCAATTTCGTCACCCAATAGACTATCTCCTGTACACAGAGAACTTCTGTCACCACATAGATTGTCTCCCTTACATAGGGAAATGGTTAGTCAACATCAAGACGATTCTGTTTCATTTAATGTTGACGAACAGTATAGCGAAGATGCGTTTGAGGAAGACGATAGCGAAGAATATGAAGATGTTACTGATGATGTTGATGAAGACGATGAAGATGAAGATGATGAAAATTGAAATTGTGTGATAAAATGCATTTATTGACATTGTTATATGTAGTTTTCAGATGGGTTCATGCACTTGATTTTCAAAACTTAAAAGATATAAGTATTTTTGAAAACATTTGTTCCCCTAATCACAAATTTACACTTGAATAGCAGAAGTGAATACTGCAGTTTTTCATGGAAGACCTGATTATTGCGTACAAAATTTGTGAATATTAATTAATATTGAAATTCTTTAATGTTATCTTGTTATAAGGGAAAGGTTTTCATATATTGATTGGCTTAATCTCTATATAAGAAAAATCCAGCATCGCAACTTTAATAGCTCTTTTTTTTTCAGAGTAGATTAAAGATATACATGCTATAGGAATGCAATGTCTCAGATATGGATAATGTTTTGTATTTAAGACAAAACTTTTAGAAAAATTAATCAAGGGTTACACATCCTATAGTTATTATTCTTTAAAGGTGTGTTACAGATATTGTATTAACAGCTAGATCATTCAGAATTGAAACATATAATTTTATTAATGATCAGTGCTTCTATAACTTATACTTTGTAATCTGTGATATTTTTTTTAAATCTAGAAAATAAACATGTTGAACAGAAGTTGATATTAAGATTTGTGATACTTGACACTTGACACTTGTTTTATAGTTAAACTTAAAAAAACATATCCAACATTTTGTTTAAATTTGACGTTTCATATGACTTTAAAGTTTGTGTCAACAGTTTATTTAGTGTCGATAATGAGTCGAGCGATTTCAAACTTATTTTAACGGTTTGTTCTTATGTTGTGCTGTTACACCACTGTCACAGGTTAGGGGGAGGTTTAAGTGCTTACAAACATGTTCAACCCCGTCATATTTCACATGTGTCTGTCTGATGTCAGGAGCATATTAGGTGCAGATCCAGGATTTGGAAAAAGGGTGCCCCCCGGCTGGCCATCGTTTGAAAGGATACTTGTAAAAAGTCTGCATGTATCATATATGGGCATATACTCTCTTTAAATCTGCCTCTGCCTATTATTTGGTGGATGTTAATTATTTCTGGTGGTCATGATTATTTCATTGCTGTGACCTTGACATTATTCAACATTCTTATAATTCTATCAGTTTATTTCTATAAGAAATTGATTTTGAATAAAACATCTATTCATCTGACGAAAATGCTAAAAATTATAATTGGTATTCATCTTGCAAAACATCAAGTGCATTCTGAATATATAATATACCAGTCCTAGAACACACCAGCGACATCGCAGATCCATGTCTGAATTAAAGTACCTCATCCTTATTTTAAGCATGGATTTTTAATAGTCCTATTGTCATCTGATTAAGTCATGCTGATTATTACGTACACAGTTTTCTCTGGTTTCAACATCTTTCTTTTTTAACCCATCCCGGTTTTCTTACTACAACTTTATCCCTTGTTTTGTATATAATTGTTTTTATATTTTTCTATTTTTTTATTTTGAGGATGAACGAATCAGGGGGTGGGTCTTTTTACCGCCGAACACCACCGCGCACCACTGAACACCACCGAACACCCAAAACGTGAATTAAAACTATGAAAAAAACAATAATGTGTGTCAATAAAAGCAAAAAACTTGAATTAGTTGATTTTTTTAGAATAATTAAACGGAGAATACATACAGCGTTTGTGAAAGTCTATTTATTATGTTATTGTTTCAGTAAATCAACTACATATATATTGACGTCATTACTGATTTTTTTTTTGGCAGATTAAATGTCTATTTCAATTTTAAGATTATTGAAGGTATTTTTTTGGTTCTGGTCAGATGATTTTTTTTTTAAATTTTGTTCAATATATATATATATATATATATATTTATGTCGTTTTTAGGGTTCGCCTTCCTGATCCTTCCTTAGTTTTTTTAACAAACAAATAAAAGTTATATTTCTTAATAAATAGTTATTACAGTAATCTTGTATATATATATATTACAAAAAAAAAAATAAGATTTCACCAAATGCAACTTTTATGTGTTCTAAATGTATTATTTATTAGGGCCCCGCCGAATGGCAGACGCCCTATAGTGATCCGTCTGTCCGTCCATCCGTAACAAATTGTGTCTGCTCTATATCTAGAGAACCGTTAAGATTTCAAAGTTTATACTTGACATGTATATTAACCAACACCAGAGGGTGTGTCATAATGTATGTACAACTTCCTAGGTCAAAGGTCAAGGTCAAAAACTTTGGTGTTAGTTGACAACCCCATGTCCTATGGTAAAGATCGTGTCCGCTCTATATCTTGAGAACCGTTAAGATTTCAAAGTTTATACTTGACATGTATATAAACCAACACCAGAGGGTGTGTCATAATGTATGAACAACTTCCTAGGTCAAAGGTCAAGGTCAAAAACTTTGGTTTTAGTTGACAACCCCATGTCCTATGGTAAAGATCGTGTCCGCTCTATATCTTGAGAACCGTTATGATTTCAAAGTTTGTACTTGACATGTATATGAACCAACACCATAGGGTGTGTCATAATTTATGTACAACTTCCTAGGCCAAAGGTCAAGGTCATAAACTTCGGTTTCAGTTGACAACCCCATGTCCAATGATAAAGATACAATTTTTTTACCACACATTATTCACGGCGGGTCCCTCAGAGATGGCTCCCATCTCAATGATATCTAGTATACATCAATTTTAGCCTGACATGTGTCTGGGGGTAAACAAGATTAAACGTGATAAGGAAGTTGGAAGGAATGAATAAATTACAGCTTGACACACGTTGGTGATAATCAGTTTAACGCCTTACTCGCTTATCATGATTAATCACAATTAACAAATATACTAACCCGCATACAATTATGAAAATTGCGAAAAACAATTATCAGACCAGACGAAAAAGAGTAGGATGGTCCTATTTCTTCTCTCAAAAAGGTCAAACAACAGAAAGTGTAACCACTAGAAGTTACTAGGTGATTAATATCTGGTATTGCTGACAGTCATAATGGTACAATGAGTTACAGAAGTCACCCTTTAATGAATTCTTGGAACAATTCTGTCTGCAGTCCCCGCAAGGCAAAAAAAATGGACCTTTTTAGGTACGAAATTTTGCGTTTAGGCATTATGATTTCAGTTATAGACTTTTAGATATTTTTTTGAGAATTTTTCTATAAATTTCTTGTTCTGTCAATATAATATACCTTTTTGTCACGAAATATCTTCAGATTTTAGAACCAATCCTAAATTCGACCAATAATATCAAATGAAAATAAATGTGTACAATTATTTTCATCGGAAATAAAATGTTGTCCAATAACCTTTACAGAAATTATCTGTGATTCCAATACTTAATGGATATATATTTTTGGATGTTCGGCTGTGTTAAATGTGTTCGGCGACTCTTTTATTTTTTCGATGTCAATATTTGGTCTTGTTTCCTTTTATTTGTTATCTTATTACTTTATTATTAAACATATCAAACCTTCTATAACACTTGTTGAAACAATAAATTAAAAAAATTTTTTTTAAAAGAGTTTTTTTTCTCGTACGGTTCGGCGGTGATTTACGGGTGTGGTCGGTGATTCTCCTATACTTTACGATGTTAAAATTCATTCTCATTTCCATTTATTTGTTAAATTTTTTACTTAATTACAACATAAAGGTAAAAAAAAAATTAACAAATTGATAAAAAGGTATAATTATGGGTGTTCTGCTGTGTTTTGCAGTGTTGTTGACTCTTCTACTCTCTTTGGGTGTTTTAATATTTGGTCTCGTTTCCTTTTTTATTTGTTAAACCTTTTACTAAAATACGTGAAATATATCTGATAACATAATAAAATATGTTTTTTTTTTCATAGTTTAAGATCATTTTTGGGTTTTTCGGCGGTGTTCGGTGGTGTTCGGTGTTGTGCGGTCGTGTTCGGCGGTGAAAAGACCTACCGCAAATCAGGCGAGTGTATGTTCATATGTTTTATTGCATTGTACTTATTGCTTTTGGGAAAGGTTAACCTTTTAGTAGTTAGACCCGTCACGGCCAGGCTGGGAAACTTGGTAGGAAAATACACAACTCAATGAAAAATTGATTTAAAATTAAGTATCAACAAGTGATAACAACGTGACATAGTTTAAATACATACTTTTCCCACAAGGTCATGTTTTTCTCTGACTGTTTATGACGTCTTCTACTAAATCCATTGGATGTTGGATGTGTACGGATTGATAATTTAGTCTTAGATGCATGATTTTTTTATTAGTTGTTAGTGGCTTTGAACTTGCTGTCTGTAACTGCGAGTACTCTCAGATCTGTACTTAGTGTCTTTTTGTTGTTTGGATGTACAAGTACCCGGCTACGGCCACTTGTATTTGTAGTAATTGTATTTTCATCCATCTGATGAGTTAAGCCTCTTTCAACTGATTTTTGTAGTTCGTTCTTTTGTTGTTCTGTTACACCACTGTCCCAGGTTAGGGGGAAGGTTGGGATCCCGCTAACATGTTTAACCCAGCCACATTCTGTATGTATGTGCCTGTTCCAAGTCAGGAGCCTGTAATTGGGTGGTTGTCGTTTGTTTATGTGTTACATATTTGTTTTTCGTTCATTTTTTGTACATAAATTAGGCCGTTAGTTTTCTCGTATGAATTGTTTTACATTGTCATTTCGGGGCCTTATATAGCTGACTGTTTGGTATGAGCTTTGCTCATTGTTGAAGGCCGTACGGTGACCTATAGTTGTTAATTTCTGTGTCATTTGGTCTCTTGTGGAGAGTTGTCTCATTGGCAATCATACCACATCTTCTTTTTTTATATTTTGATGTTTCTTCTTAAAGCAGACATTGATTTTCTACCTTGTTCCGACAATTTCTGTTGTAGCATATCATATGTTCTATTAAAGTTTAAAAGAACACCCAGCATACATTTAAAGATACAAGGCGGGTTATCCAAATGAAACGTTTGTTGCTTGTTTATTTACTCAAAATGCAAATTGTATTCAATGCAGATCTCAATTTTTTCAAAATTTTATTCGTCACTGAAGCCGTAAAAACTGTATAAGTATGGTATGGTAATAAAATGAAAAAGAAGTTATACATTTTTATGTGTTCGAAGCGCTTTTCTGAAATCGCTCAAAACCGAATATTTGAAACCCAAGGATGTATAAAAACCGAAACGAGTGTACGTAGAGCTATATAACCAAAAGGACCTAGAAAAATAGCCAAATCCAATTTAAGATCAACTTTGCCTGAAAAAATTGTAACCTTTGTAACGTGAGATAATTGTCATAGAGACAGCAACCCAGTGATACAAAACAATTGGTATTTAGCTTTTTACACATGCAATAGTAAAAAACCTGAACCATTTAAGAATTAAATGCAAGAATGGTTCCGATTTTCTAACTATTAAAAAAAAGCAATAATATACTACTACAATACTCTTGTTTATATAAAATACCAGTTGCTAACACAGGAACATATATATTGACTTTAAAATTAGATTTTACTGGTTCCAGCTTAGCAATAGAAACATTAAAACGGCGAATCAGTGATTTTTTTTTTATTTTTCGAAGCATAAATACAAGCCTTGGGGTATTTAAATAAGGGCAACTATTCTTTTTTTTTTCACAAGTAAAGAGACATACAGAGTTCGGTGAGAGGAGTAACTTAAAAAAAAACCGCGATAAATAATCCATTGCGCATAGCAAATTGGTCACGTGACAAATTACCTGCCTTTACTGATTTGACAGGTTTGTTTAATCTCAGGTATTACATTGCTTTAAACACTTACAATAACACTCTTGATATGAAATTGATCCGTGTTGAGCACATTTAATCAAATGACAAGTTTTAAAATATAAAAATTATTGGGAATCATTGTGAATTATTGAGTTTCTCATTCTACTTTCGTTTTCTGTCCGCTTTTACCTTATACACGAAAGAGCGAATAAATCCAATATACAGTTTCTTATTTGACTATTGAGACCTGGTTCAGGATCAGGATTTTTGAAAAAAAAACGGCGGTGGGGACGACAAGGCAACATTAGGAGTGCTACTTGTAAAGAGTCTTGTAATAATCATATTTTAGCTCCATAAGACAGGCCCTATGCCCCTGGGTCTCCTTAATCCGAATCTGTAGACCCATTCTATTTTGTCGGAGTGTAACCTGATATATTTATCGATTGGTTGTATGAATGTTTAGGTGTTCATTTGATGTATGAGTGTCTGAAAGGGGAAGGGGTGGGGTCCTTCATTTTTTCACAATTTTTCTCTATTTATTATCTATTATGTCCATTATTCTCTATTCTGTAAACACCTCGTGTAAGATCGTCCTCTAGTATATCCACGGAAGTAAATTGTTTTGTACCCTAGGTGACCGATCGGTCGTGCCATGTGACCCAGGCTCACTATTGTAACCATGTTTATTAGACTTTGAAGAGCATTGTTCTAGAAAAAGATCAATTTCATGAAAGAAAATATTGCTATATAGATATATTTTTTATCATTTTTTTTTCATTTTATTTTAATGTACGTTTTATTGATATACCAAATTATCAAATTAGTAAGGAACTTAATTAGAACTGTTTAAAATGGGTGTTTTCTTTTTATCATGATAAAGATCAGTCACATCACCTCAAGAATTGTCAAGTGTGTAATTAAATATATGAAAGCTTGGTTTGAAAATGAGAACAAAAATTTTCAAATTCTTGTAACCGGAGCACTTAATTCTCTGCATACATGATCTTTCAACTTTTTCCACAGGCACTTGTCTTTTAATTTTTACTTAATATACACCTTTATATCTAATATAGCACAAGGTACCTAACTCTTATATTTGAGAAAGGCTACCCGGTCGTTAACGTCCGTTCTATTTCGACTTCGCGGTTGTCTTTCCCACTGGAATTTGTTATATCAAAATTCTGATTGATATTTTAATATCGGAGTGAATGATGAATTAATTTTGTCCCTTTCGTATCGTTCCCCTCTCTGATACATATCTTATTGCTAAAGATAAAAGTTTTTTTTTGTTGTTATCGCAATTTTGTATATGAAGACTTGAAGTCCAGAGAGAGTCTGAATAACAGTGATGGAATGAGAAAATCTGAGTTTAAAAAAAAAGAAACTAGTAACTCGATCATTAGACATACCTCAAATAAAACTTATTAGATTTTTTTGTTCACAGTATCTTTTACAAATTCACTGTTTAGAAGATAAATTAAACTGATTCGGAGAAAAACTAACAGGTTTTTGTGAAATATTATTTTTTTAATGATTAATCATTCACTGCGAAATAAAACATTTCCAATCGGTTGTGAGAAATAATTACGGTTGATCAACTTGTTTACTATTCGAGCGTCGCTGATGAGTCTTTTGCAGACAAAACGCGCGTCTGACGCAAATACTAAATTTTAATCTTGTATCTATGATGAGTTTATTTGTAATCTAATATGTGAACTTTAAAGTTAAAGCAGTGTAACGATAAAGCAAAGTGTTAACTCTTCTGTTTTGTAGCATGTCGAGTAAGTTGACTGTGTGTGGAGTATGTGAATACCGCAACATCAACAAATCCTCGGTGGTCTGGTGTTCGGAATGCGACGAAGGTCTTTGTGAGGAGTGTAAAGAGCATCATGCTGCTTCAAAGGGATCAAGAGACCACAGTATTGTACCAATATCCGAGTACCAGAAGCTTCCTTCCAATATATTGCAAATTACTCAAACTTGTCCAAAACACAATGAAAAATACGTTATATTTTGTAAGAAACACGATAGTCCATGTTGTAGACGATGTGTTGTAGAAACGCATGACGATTGCAGAGAGTTGAAGGCGATAGATGACGTCATTCGAAATGTTAAATCATCAAATGCATTCTTAGAGATGGAACAAATGTTAGCAGAACTTTCGGAAAATTTACAGAGAATAAGAAAAGATCGGCAAAACAACATTAAAATTCTGAAGGAGAACAAGACCAGAATTGAAATAGAGATTGAGGAGACACGAGTATTGATTAAGAACCATCTGGATAAATTGCAGGAAAGTCTGATGAAAGAGTTGTATGCCGCTGAGGAAAAGGAAAACAAGAAAATCAGCCGTTTAATATCATCTATACAAGAGAAAGAAAGGGAGATTACAGAATGTCAGACCAATTTAGATAAAATAAAACAATATGCCTCAGACCTGCAGACGTTTTTGGCTATGAAACACATCCAACAAGATGTAACAAACAGCGAACAGTTTCTAGAATTCTTATGGAAAGAAGCAAAAATGAGCGATGTTACAATTTCATTTAAAAAAGAAAACGTTTTGGAAGCTCTTCCTAAAGCTATAAACAAGATTGGAACCATTATCTTAGATACCAGGCTAAGTGATACAACATTAGCCAGCAGAAAGAACAAGCAAGCACAGACAATGGTGCCTACCACACATGTTTCTAACATTGATGATCTTAAACTTACTTTAGGACAGACCGTGCAAACAAATGGAAAAGATATCACTGGTTGTTCCTTACTACCTGATGGCAGAATGATGTTTGCCTGCTACGCAAGAGGCCATATTAATGTGATGAAAACCGACGGGTCGTTAGATTTCACATTACAGCCAGGGTTGATTACAACTAATATACACTTTACAGAGGAAAGTCAAAAACTTGTCGTAACATCTGACAGGGACTATTCAATTACGATAATCGATATGAAAAACAGAAAAAGTGAAAAATCGATTAATGTCGGGTCACATATTTATGGAATTGTTTATAAAGATGGCAAATTGTTCTATAATGCATCTAGTCGTGGATTATGTGTTGTAAGTTTAGATGACGACTCTATAACACAGCTAGTTAACGCTACTTTGTCTCCATATAGCAGCATTGCAATATGGTCAGATCAACTTTATTATATAAACAATGATGATTCAGTAACATGTTGTGATCTTCAAGGCACATTTAAATAGCAATTAGAACAGAAACCATTTCTACGAGGTGCACGGGGTATTACGGTAGACAAAGACGGACGTGTTTACGTATCGGGGTTTTATTCTAACAATGTCTTTATCATTTCACCAGATGGAAAGAAACACAGACTGTTGCTGTCAGAGAAAGATGGTCTTAAACTGCCACAATCTTTATTCCGTGATCGCAAAAATAACAAGCTACTAATTTCGAACCGATCAAATGAGGCATTTCTTTATGATGTTTCTAATTGATGAATTGGTACAATATACTCTTCTAAAAGAAACATTAAAAAATATTTTGAAGACTGGTACATTCGATGTTTATACGCCAAGACGTTTGTGTAACTACACTTGATTTAGTCGAGATACATGTAATTCCTCTACAGCAATCAAACTTACAAAATATAAAGTAGTACCAAGAAATAATTAAGATGTTATTAAAAAAAAGTATTAAGCTTGGTATTATTTTGTTTTTTTTGTTTAGATCAAGTAAACTGCATTATGATTGGTGTTACGATGTAGATTAATTCAGCCCCTTTTTATTGTATATTGATTTATTTAGTGTACGGAACATTGCTGAATCATTGTGTATATCCATAAAGCTTATTTAACGAAAACTGATGACCGTTTCAACATTTAGACTTGAATAAGCTGATATAATTTATCTACTCTAACTTTACCTCAATTGTTTCCCATTTTGTCATGTCGGGCCTTTTATAACTAGCTATGCAGTATGGCTTTTAGTTATTGTTGAAGGCCAAAAGGTGACATATAGTTGCTAACATTTATGTCATTTGGTCCCTTCTAACATTTGTCTCCTTGACAATCATACCACATCCTCTTATTTTTATATTACTTTTTAATCCATAGTTATTAGTATTGATGATATGCGTCGTTTTTAATTTGATATTAGAATTTCTCAATGTAATCTTCATAGTATTACCATAATTAAAGACAAAATGAGTTATATTTTTTTTCCTTAATATTGAAGTGCAGTGCCCTCTCTCTCAGGTGGTTAGATATCGTAGTATTTTCAGAGACATTTCAGATGGAAAACATTAAGAAATTATGTGGCCACTGCTAAGGAGTGCAGAATAGCTGTGTTGCTTTGTTTCCATTTATCAATAAATACACATAAAGTAGTGTCTACTGTTATACATGTATCACCACTATACGAATCCATACTCTGTAGAATATCACAATCAGGAATCGGTAAACTTATGGATTAGATAAATTTTCTGATATCTAAAAATCCCAATATTACCGAATAATGAATATAGTTTTTAATAGTCACAAGCACTTTCATGTTTTTACAACAATCTTCAGGTAAAAGACGAATAATTGTAACTAAGAGGCAGTAGTTGAGTACGTAAATTCATTATACAATCATAAAACGGAGTAACAACTTTTAAGTGAAATATGGAAAGTCAATTGTAACGTTATTGAAAACCTCGCACATTTAAAATTGGCTTGCATTTGGTTATTAAGTATTTTTACCTCTTGATGTCACAGTCTACATTTACTTTATAGAACGGGAAAATTTTAAAAAGCCCTATTCTACAACGATCTAAATGTTCGCTTAGAAGGATTTTCCTAAATTGCGGCTGTCTGATGTATTGTCGATAGGCTTAACTATTTCCAGTTTGTCTGATGTATATTTCTTTGCAGTCGCAGCTTTCAATACGGTATATCAAATTTTCACTTTTACACGTCTGCTTGGTATTAGCCTAAATTGTTTGTCTGATTTCTATCTTAAGTTTGCTTCCGATATAGATGTAAGGACACGTACAACATCGAGAATCCTTGCATTTCGACATTTGGATTTTTTCCCCTCTATGTTTGGTCGAATTATTAAGGGTCAATAGACGTTTTAAGTTGTTTGGTTGTCGTTTGTCTTGTATTAACGTTTCTTGATTTATTAGGGTACTTAATTTTGAATTTTGTACAGAGTGGTAAATTTCTTCTTGTTACGCGAAATATATTCATGTTACGAAGATTTGTGACAACAATTGGTATCTCATCATTTTGGTATAGATCTATTGCGTGTTGTCCTTCGTTGTACCATCGGGATTTGTTAAGGCATTGCAATACCCGTTTTGATAAGGCTTTGCGGATATTTGTGTGACATAAGAAATGTTTCAAGTTCTTGCAATCAATCATCCCTATACTGTTCATGCATATTTTCCTATCTAAACAGTAGGGTATGTTTCTTTTTGCATGTGCGGGATGCAAGAATAAAATTTAAATATTGTTGCGTGTCTGTGTCTTTATAGTAAATATCGGTTTTCATATCAGTGCCTTCTTTGATTACCAAAATATCCAGAAATGATAGCTTTTGGGAGGTTTGGCTAGCCATTGAACCATGTTCTATCCACCATTTTTTCTTAAATTGTTCTGTACCAAGTCAGGAATATGGCAGTTGTTATCAAATAGTTCGTTTTATTTGTAAGTTGGCGTTTGTTTTTGTTACACTTCAGTGTTCCTGTTGTTCCTTTGTTTTTCTCTTGTAGTTGCTGTGTTTACCTCGGTTTTGGTTTGTGGCCCGGTTTGTTTTCTCTCAATCGATTTGCGACTTTTGAACACCGGTATACTACTGTTGCTTTAATTTATGAGTATTCATTTCCATCGTAAACTTTATAGCTCTGTCCATAGAACATCGGAAGACATTTTCAGATCTTCATCGGATTTTGTCCAAATAATAAAGCAGTCGTCTAGATATCTCTTCCAGGATGTTTAAAAATTCCCTGGCCATTTCTATACCGAAAATGTCCTCAATCTCCTGATATTGTTTCTGTTGTTAAAAACTCATTACTTGGGTAGCGTAAGTTGGGGAATATGTTTTACTCAAAGCAGTTTGTATTTAGTTTTTCTCATCAAAATAAAATGTATTGTTTTCCAAGATAAATTTTACGGATTCTAAAACAAAATCGATGGTAAAGCGATTGGGTATTGCATCCCTGTGTTTTTCTATCCAATCTTTTACGGCCGCAATTGCCAGGTCATGTGGTATATTTGTATATCAGAAAGTGAAATTAAAGAACTTTGCAAGATGCACTTTATTATATGCCTTTGAGAAGGCTATGCATGAATTCGGTTTCCTGTGATTAAAAAAAAAATAAGTTGATCATTTTCGAGCACTACATCCCTAAGAACATGTTACAGAACAAATAACTAATTGGATTTATAGTTAATTTGTATTTTTGTTTTGTCCTGAATATGTATGAAATATTTGCCACTGGAAGTAAAGCAACCGACGATCAATCAATCAAGTTACTGATATCACTTATCTCATTGTTATTAACAAATGGCCCATCCAAAGAAAAATTAAGAAAACTATATTATTGTTTCAAACTTATTACAAATATGCTAATTGGTATTACCTCACAAGATACCAGATACCATATCTTTTTACACTAACTGCATTATTTAGACGGGTATTACTTGATTAACCTATTTCAAACTTGTTTCCTTTATTAATGTTACGACCTTATAATTTCGAATACATCTTGATCGGTTTATACATATTCTATAATTTGAAGGATTGTCGTTCTTTTATTTTTACACTCCGTAGATACTGAATTGAATTACGCGGAAAAGCAAGAGTTTTGTTTTTATTTTTTGGCAAATCTCTCCGGCAACGTTAACCTTAGTTGTTTTGACTTTTTTTTGGTCACTTTTGTTCATACTGTCCATACTGTTTTAATGTTTATATACAGCCCTTCCTTTCAAACGTTTGGGTTTGAGTGTTTCTGATGAGGGTAAATCCAGAAAAGCGCTTAGGACGTCCGATATTTATAAAGTAGTATTCTCATTTTTTAGTGTTTTAATGTTTTATGATGGCTACTTATTTGTGCACATACACCTCCCCTCGTCACTCCTGCTGACATAACATGATAGCGATCTTTTTACTGACATTACAATTTATAAACAAATATATTTCAGATACATTTCTGTCCCTATCCAACATACCATACGACTTATTTTTAAATAGCTGACCGTATATCCTGACCTTCCCCCCGATTAAACCCTACCTTGCAGAACCTTCGGAGTTCTTATTTTTTCAGTTTTCAATTTGGTCTCACCCTCACCATGCATGGTATATATTTCCAACTGAACGTTAAGAAATAACAATTAATTGATATTTTGGATAACTATGTGATGCATTTTCATAGCTCATCAACTTACCAAACAACTTATAAATGTTCGCACTAAATGTTCATGTAACAAATTGTTACCTGTGTTAGTTACAGGTGCTTGGAAAATTGACCCCGCTTTTTTCGAAATATTGAGAAAGAAATAAGAAGAAAAAGGTGGTCCATGCCCTAAGCGCTTGTTGCATCGATAGGAATGTTACCTAGTGTATCAACGAATTCTTGACAAAAAGGTACAATATACAAGGAAACACGTCTCTCTCCCGTTCGTTAGTCAAATAGATGAAAGCACTTACATAATGGGAATAATGTATGACAAAGATATCTGTGTTGTTAGTTTAACATAACATTTCACCAATCAGAGTTATAACATAAGTACAAATAAGGATGAAGTTAGATAATATAGAATTAAAGAGAGCATGAAACGATAAAAGCAGCCATAGATGTATTTTGGTTATGTGTGTCATTGGTTTTCTAAATGAGGGTCGTGATGCGGTTTACAAAATGGAGAATAAAAGTAAAAAGGTACAGAATTAAAGGCTAAAAAATGTTGAAGGAATAGCCAAAAAATAAAGAATAGAGACTTATGGGTTAAAATATAAAAATAAACAATAATGAGCAAAACAGATAAAGAATAGAGAAAAAAAAAAGAAACGAAAAACCCACCATCCAGACCCTCCTATATAAACCATTTCTGTTTACTCCAGATCTATTTATTCATATAACATGTATACATCACCAGTGGCTTAATAAAAGAAACCATACAAGATTTACATAGCATAAATGTTATTGTCAGGGTATATAAAAGAATTTCAAAACATTCTTGTTTCCTTTAGTAAATAGTACGTTTAAATAAACCGCGATAATTTTATAAATAATCTATGACGCATATTGGTCACATAACAAATTATCTGCCGCTGCTTGTTTTACAGATTTGGTGAATCTCACGTATAACATTGTTTCTAACATTTAAAACACTTACAAATAATACTCTTGATGTGTAATTGACATATGTGTACCACATTTGATCAAAATAAGAGTTTTGAAATACTAGAAATATTGTATATCATTAACTTCCCATTCTACTTTCGTTTTCTGTTTGCTTTGAATTTTTTTGTAATCTGATTAAGTATAATTATAAGTGTAATATAATACACTCATAATACATTATTGTACCGACCAATTAAAAGTCTCCTGGTTGTTTGGTTACAATATATATTTTTGTGCCCATCATTTTCCTTTTTAGTTCCCCGCGCAACGCGATGCGGGGAACATAGAAATACCGGGCATCCGTCTGTCTGTCCATCCGTTCGTTCGTCTGTGCGACCGTCCGTCCGTTCTTGTTAGCGCTCTCACGTGTACAATTCTTGTCAGATTTTTATGAAACTTATATCATAGGTTTATAACAGCAATGTCTTGGACGAGTTCGAAAATCAATTCGGATCAATCGTTTTTAAGTGTTTAAAAGAGTTATGCCTCTTGGATACATTAACTATATTTAATATTGCATCGTTAGCGCTCTCATTTGGTCAATTCTTGCCAGATCTTTAAGAAATAATATCATAGGTTTATATAAGCTATGTCTTTGACGAGTACAAAAATCAGTGCCCATCAATTATTTTTAAAAGAGTTATGCCCCTTGGAAACAGTATTTATGTTGAAAATTGCATTGTCAGCGCTCTCATGTGTACAATTCTTGCCAAAATGTTATAACCTTAAATCATAGATTTATATAAGCAATGCATATAACTAGTTCGAAAATCAGTGCAGATCTATAATTTTTAAAAGAGTTATGGCCATCGGAAATATTAATCGTATCGAAAATTGCCTTATGAGCGCTCTAATGTGTACAATACTTGCCAGATATTTATGAAATTTATATTAAAGGTTGATATCATCAATGTCATTGATGAGTTCAGAAATTTGATTAATAATTATTTTAAAAGAGTTTTGCCCCTTGTAAATATTGATTATATGGAAAATTGTATTGTTAGCGCTCTCATATTTTCAATTCTTGCCAGAATGTTATGAAATTTATATCTTAGGTTTATATCAGCAATGTCTTGGAAATTTTCAAAATCAAGTTCTGATCAAATATTTTTATCAAGTTATGCCCCTTGGAAATATTAATTATAATGGAAATCACATTGCATATGCTCTGAAGCTTTCATTTCTCTAAGATATTGACCAAAAGATTTAAATAAACCAACAAAAAGTGCTGTTTTTGCTCTTGTAACTTGGGATGATAAAAAATGTGCAACGCGGGGCACATTGGAACTCTGTTTTATTATTTGAATATAAATTTTAACACCCCTTTATTCTCCATTCTTATTTTTTCGCCTATTTATCTATTCTTTTTTATTTTTTCTAAGGGGATGGGGTTCATTTTCATGTTGTAGTGGTGACTTATTCTTTATAATGTAAATCTAATCCAGACCCTCATCAACGTAGGCCTACATCAAATAGAAACGAACTTTTAAAATTGAGAATGAAATTTTGTCAGCGTAAGTTTGTTCCTCCTAACAGAAAGTACTCTGGAAACTGTTATAACTATTGCTATAATGGCTGATTCTTTTAAAAAATATCTATAACCTTTATTCCGTCAGGTAGAACTACTATATCATTGTTTGCAGTGGAGGTAATATTTCAGTATATTTCTTTCATTTAGAACTTTACATGTAGGACTTCTAATTTATGACTGCTTTACATACACCACTTAACTTAATAAGAAAAATAAATGTAATAATGACTACATAGCAAGAAGCACTAAATGTTGGTGTAAACCTAACCAAATTACGATGTTTTGTTAACTATTTGCTTAAATAATTTTGTAAATGTCTTTATGTGTATAAAATTTAATCAATAGAAATAAAAAAGAAGTATGACGCTACGGTTTGACCTATTGTAGGCGAAACTACAAATGTGCTATACAATGCATCAACCGACATTTCAACATTCTTCATGTGTTCAATCTGTTATGATAATAAAACGCTTCTTAGTTAACATAGAATCATGGAGCACTTAAAACATAAATGAGACGAAAGACATGCAATAAAGCGATTCTTATGTTGTTTTTTTTTTAAATATTTTTAATGATTGTCAATTTGTTTACCATGTCAACTATTCAGAAAAAAACATTGTGATCAGGCAGAAGAAAAAATAATATTTTCTGATAGAGAGATTTAGCCATTTAATTGAAATACAAATGCATAGTCCTTGACAAATAAATTCGCGATTTACGTAACAACAACAACAAAAAACTCAATACCTAAGGACTAAATGGTCTTAGCCTTACTTGTTTAAAAAAGACTTATTTCACAATTTCATATTCATTTCAGTTTATAAACTGTACATAAGTTAGACTTATAATAAATGGAAAATTTATTACATCCAATATCGATTCAATTTCTTATTTGACGTTATTTATTGAATTTGCATTTAGTAGATAATTTTAAGTCCACTTTATCATCAATTTCACCCAAGGCGCCGCTGCGACGAGTTCTATTTTTCGGAGCTCCATTTTATACATTTCTCAATTTGTTAAAGGAATGTTGCGGTGCTACTGTGACATCGTAGATGTATGACCGCCCTTCATTATCCATGTGGATTAGTACTTCTTTAGACAAGGCGAATGAGAGATGATTTACTGTCTCTTATGTCTCAATGGCAAGCTGGCAAATTTGTTACTTAGGAAAGAAATTTATATAATCATTAGCCTTTGTAGATTATTTTTCTAGAAAAAAAATCAGATTTTTGATAGATATCTATTGCTATTAAAATTTTGAATTTTCCATTATTTAATATCATTGTTTCATTGTATACGTCTTAATTAATATTTCAAAGTATCATACAAGTAAGGAACGTCTTCTCAAATGTTAGGAACGCTCAAATTTCAACACTTGAAAGCCAGGGATGTATATATACAGAGAACTATTAGGAACTACATGTACATAGGACGCATCAAATTAATAAAGTGATATTTTCATTAACAATATGAGTTAGACAAATAACACATAATATTGAAGCTTATGTTCTAATTCGTATCCTTCAACCGAACATAAAACATTTATCAATATAATACAAAACTATCACATGGGAGTAGCCACTTGCAAAAGTCAAGTGCATTTTTATTCAGGTATTAAGTACACGTAATTCATTTTATATCAATGAGAATTGTCTGTCTCTAACAAGCACATCAATATTTGCGACCCATCTTGGACTATCAACCTGTAAATAAATATTTTTTATAATTATTCATTTGGACAAACGCCTCTAGCGCACTTGACTGCAATGACTCGAATAACGATAACTACTATCAAACCACCCGTGCATTAAATTCTACCCGTATACTTTTATATATCCAATCAAACAGACATATCTATAAATAGAATAAACACGTGTACCTTAAAAACAACAAATTTGCATCGATATATGTACAACTTTGATAAATATAATATTTAACGTAAAATCAAAGTTTTCATTCTTCTGTTTTGTAGCATGTCGAGTAAACTGACTGTATGTGGAGTATGTGAATACCGTAAGATCAACAAATCACCGGTGGTCTGGTGTTTTGAATGCGAAGAAGGACTTTGTCAGGAGTGTAGAGAGCATCATGCAGCTTCAAAGGGGTCAAGAGACCACAGTATTGTTCCAATCTCCGAGTACCAGAAACTACCTACCAATATATTGGAAATTACTCAAACTTGTCCAAAACACAATGAAAAATACCAAATATTTTGTAAGAAACACGATTTTCCATGCTGTAGACGATGTGTTGTTGAAACGCATGATGATTGCAAAGAGCTAAACGTTATTGATGACGTCATAAAAAATGTTAAATCATCAAATGCATTCTTGGAAATGGAACATACATTATCGGAACTTTCAGAAAATTTACAGAGATTTAGAAAAGATCGGCAAAGCAACATTACAAGTCTAAAGGAGAACAAGACCAAAATAGAAAAAGAGATTCAACAGACACGAGTATTGATTAACAATCATCTGGATAAGCTACAGGAAAGTCTGATGAAAGAATTGTATGCCGCTGAAGAAAAAGAAAACAAGAAAATAAGCTGTTTAATATCATCCATACAAGAGAAGGAAAGGGATATTACAGAATACCAGACCAATTTAGGTAAAATAAAACAACATGCCTCAGACCTGCAGACGTTCTTGGCTATGAAACACATCCAACAAGATGTAACGTACAACCAAAAATTCCTAGAATCTTTATTGAAAGAAGATAAATTGAATCATGTTATCATTTCTTTTGAAAACGAAAACACCTTGAAATCTCTACCTACCATTCTAAACAAGATGGGAACCATTATCTTAGATACCAGGTCAAGTGATATAACACTAACAAGACATAAGAACAAACAAGCACAAATAATAGTACCCATTACATATGTTCTTACCATTGATGATCTAAAACTTACTTTAAGACAGACCGTGAAAACAATTGGTAAGGATATAACTGGTTGTTCCTTACTACCTGATGGAAGAATGATTTTTTCTTGCTACACAAGTAACAAAATCTACGTTATCAAAAACGACGGGTCGTTAGATTTTACATTACAGCCAGGAGAGCGTACATCTCATATAAACTATATAGAGGACAGCCAAAAACTTGTCGTTACATCTGGCATGGACAGTTCAATCACAATAATCGATATGAAAAACAGAAAAACTGAAAAATCGATTAAAGTCGGGTCATGGATTTATGGAATAGTTCACAAGGATGGAAAATTGTTCTATAATGGATTTGAGGGTGGATTATGTGTTGTAAGTTTAGATGACGACTCAGTGACACAGCTAGTTAATGTTAACTTACCTTCGAATAGAAGCATTGCAATATGGTCAGATCATCTTTATTATATAACTAATGATTCTTTAACATGTTGTGATCTTCAAGGCAAATTCAAATGGAAGACCGACCCTGCAGCATTTCTTAATAGTGTACTTGGTATTACGGTAGACAATCACGGACGTGTTTACGTATCAGGCCGTCATTCTAACAATGTCGTTGTAATTTCACCAGACGGAAACAAACATAGAGTTTTGCTGTCAGAGATAGATAGTCTTAAACAGCCAAAAGCTGTGTTCTTTGATCGCAAAAATAACAAGTTACTTATTTCGAACCAAGAAAATGAGGCATTTCTCTATGATGTTTCAAATTAATGAATTGGTACAATACCCTTAAATTGCAAGTTGTGTCATGGTTTTATGTGTTTGCATATTAAAGTACCTGTTCCATAAACAATAAAGATATTCAAGGGGTGAGTCAATCTGTTCATAAACTTTCACTCAGTGACGCCATACCGTAACATAACGTGCATTTCGCGGATAATACCGTACAGGAAGTTGTTAGTTCCCAAACAAGTACTTCCCATTCAAAACAAAAACTATTCCTATGATATACGTCTTTGTAGGTCAATATCGTTTGCTTTCAACATTTTTTATTGTATGTTTTTTTTTGTTATCAATGCTGAACCAAGAATTGATAGTAAACAAAATATCCGGTTAAATAAATGTTGAAAGCCAACAAAATGGACATACGAAGGCTTAAATCATAAGACTAACGAAGAAATATGTCACATATACAAATTTTTTCAATGCAATTTCTGTCATGATAACGGTCACCTGCAATTTTGTTCTTCAAAATTCAGCATTGTTTAACATATACACAATTCTTTAAAATGTTTTCTCTAATCTACGAAAATAAGCAATAATCACTAATCATTATTACATCTTTAATGACCAATTTCTTTAAAACAAGAGATTGACATACTACAGCAAAAAGTGAAATAACACAAATAACGAATTACGAGGAAAATTCAAAACGAAAAGTCCCTAATCAATTGGCAAACCCAAAAGCTCAAACACACCAAACGAACGAATAACAACTGTCATATTCCTGACTTGGTACAGGCATTTTGTTATGTAGAAAATGGTGGATTAAACCTGGTTTTAAAGCTAGCTAAATCTCTCACTTGTACGACAGTCGCACAAAATTCCTTTATATTGACAACAGTATGTGAACAAAACAAACAGACATACTAGGTAAAAATGTAAAAAAATAGGAGTACAGCTGTCACCATTGTGCTATAATCTTAATCACTACACATGCTATGAAATTAAAACCAAATATATTAACAAAGAAAATCAAAACTCCATATAGACAAAGCACATCAGCAAAAACGAAAGATAAGAATACAAAAATTTAACATAGCATAATATCACAATGACGGGATGTATAAGTACCGAGCCACGTCAAACGGAAAATAGACTAAACAGTAAAAGAAACAATTTACAACGACAAATAAAAGAACAATATAACGCGTAATTAAGATGATAAACAACGTCAGGGCCTAGAATCTATACTTCAAGACCATCGTGTATTATTTGTGAAGCTGATATGGAATATTTTTATACAAGGTCTTGGTGTGTTCCGATGATCTTTTTTTTTTTAGAAAAAAGACGAGACGTTATTTGACACAACCCTGGTTCATCAACATTCTGCTCAGACACTGTTGACGTTTTACAAAGTCTGAGAAGCAGCTGCAAGCTCTTGAATACCGAATGAGTTGGAAAATGTATATTCCATATGCAGGTGAAGTTGGTTTATTGGTACTTAGATGGGGGAAATTGATAATTTCAAAATTTAAATCGTCTTGTTTGTAATAGATTCTGGTACTGAGATGAACGCTTAAGTCAAATTTAGGTATAAGTTTAAAAATGAGGCAGATGAAACCGTGTCTGTTATTTCCTTAATTTCAAGTTCTGGAACCCAATCAGAAAAATTTAGACTGTTAATTGAAAGAACATTCAATATATCTGAATGTGAAATTAAATGATCTGGTTTCTTTGATTTTTTTTCTGAAGGAACTCCGACTCATATGAAAATTACGGAGAGGTCGACAAGGAGAGGCCCACAGTTCGTACCCATAGAAATGCCGAAAAATTGTTGAAAAGTCTACCTCCGATTTCAACAAATATGCTGTCAATATGAAACTCCAGCATACTGATCACTTGTTCCTCTGTGTAGCATGGTTTACTTTTTTTAACTTTTAACAAAATATGCCGTATGGTATAAAGAATCACTGCAATAACTTTGTGATGGGTTTGTAAAGGTGAATCTGTTGCATGCCAGTGGCAGTTCAATATTTCTGCCCTCAATAAAATCGGGCGACCCATTTTTCAGAATTGACAAATAACATATTTTTTGCTGTTTTGAATAAATCCAATAGGCTAACTGGGATTAAGAAATATAGTCCAGCCGGCGTGCAGTAAAACCCGTTGGTTTGTCAGTTTGATTCAATGCGGGATGAATGAATATGCAATCACTTCCGGTCAGAATTGGGGCAATACATTTGAGGCCTCATTAGAGAGACAGTCAAACTCGCTGCACTTAAAAGAACCCTTGTAATAATTCATACAGTGGCATATTGCAAGACCCAATGTCTGTCACTGTCAAGCAAATTACAATTAGATATTTTGCAATTGTAAATTTGTTACAACGACGGTTTTGTCCTTGAAATATCATTTTGTAAGCCAAGCCACATCGCCGTCGTTAATCCGCACTTAGGCATTGACTTCTAAACATTAAACCGTTTACATCTCTAGATTTTAGGGTCAAGAAGAAACGTTAAAGATCGTTAGACGGATTTGTAAAAGTGTTTTTAGAACTTGTTTCCAAATCCCATATTTGACTGCTATTTTTAATTTTACTAAACCATGATTATAATTTGCAATGCTATATCCTATTCAAACTGGACTTTTTAACGACAAATCCCTGAAGACTTTCAAGAGTACGAGGGTCACACAGTATAAATCACTATGTAAAATTGGACAATTTTGTTTTATTTTGTTCAGTTGATTTTTTCTTCTTTCTTACATTTCGCACTTTACTATTCCTTGGATTTTGTTTATTATTTGAAGAATAGTGTGTTTATAGCAATTCCCTGAAAGCTTCGGCTGAATTTATTTTAGATTCGGAGCGATCTAGATGATGAAATAGTGTATTGCCACTTTTTTTTCAAAACCACATTATTGACCTCTATAGCTGTCTTTGTGTGTGTATATGAGATTTTGTAATTTGATTCATTTTGTATTTTTTTGGAGGGGGAGGGTGGAGTTGGTTGGTTGGTTTGGCGTCAGGAAAGATAGTGTAACATGGTTGGTGTTCATTTTGATTATTGATCTTCCAATAGACCCGGACCGGTTATCGACATGGTAAGCATCTTCTGTCTGGTATGTATTAATCACCAGATATGAAAATTTCACACTCATTTAAAATGTCATATTAAGGAATCGGTAGTTGATTGATTAAGGTCTTTTGCTAGAATATATAAATCTGTTCAAAATCATGTCGCTAGAGTTGAGTCATAAAAGCATTGTATTGGTCTACTTATTTGCAATGGTGACCGAAAAACTTCTGAAAAGTCCTTTTCGGTTGTTCTTTAAAGATACATGTATGAAGCATTATGAATTCTTCATGTGAGTACTAAAACAAGTTGATTATAGTAGCACTACATCCCAAAGACCCAATTTGAAGAACATATACTCAATTGGACTTATTGCTAATATGTTTTTGTCCTGAATATGCATGAAATATTTGCCACTGGAAGAATCAAATTTCTGGTATTACTTTTCCCATTTGTTATTAACACACGTGTCCAACACAAAGAACAATTGAAGAAACATTTTAGTGTTGCTTCACTCTTATAACACATGTCTATCTTATTGTGTACTATTATTTGTCTGTTTGTATTTTTCATTTTTAGCCAGGGCGTTGTCAGTTTAATTTCGATCTATGAGTTTGAATGTCCCTTTAATATCTTTTGCCCGTCTTTTATCTCACAAAATACCAGATTTTTTGGGAAATATTTTTTCGAATTAATAGGAAAAGAAATAACAAGAAAAAAGGGGGTCCATGCCGCAAGGGGAAGTTGTGTTGTGATAAGAATGTTCCCTTATTTATAAATGAATTCTTAATAATACGTAAAGTTTACAAGGAAACATGTCTCTCTCTTTAATCAAATTAATGAAATTACTAGCATATTGGGAATAATGTAAGAGAAAGACACCTGTGTTGTTAGTTTGACATAACATTTCACCAATCAGAGTTATAACATAAGTACAAATCAGGATGAAGTTAGAGAACTTTAGACTCAAAGAAAGCATGATACAGTTAAAAGCAGCCATAGATGTATTTTGGTTATTTATGTCATTTCTTTTCTAAATCGGGGTCGGGACGCAGTTTACGGAATAGAAAATAAATTTAAAAAGTACTGAATTGAAGGCCAAAATATAAGGAATAGCACAAAAAATAAAAAGTAGAAAATAATAAGTTGTTTAAATTTAAAAGATAGAGAATAATAAACAAAACAAATAAAGAATAGGAAAAAAATAAATGAAAAACCAACCATCCACCATTATTATTCATAATACATGTATACATTGCCGGTTGCTTAACAATAGAAACCATAAAAGTTTTGCTAAGCGTACATTTTATTGTCATGGTATTAAATGAATTTCAAATATTTCCCCCGTAAGTAAAAAGTATGTGAAACATTTTAAATAAACCGCGATAATTTTATAAATAATTAATGACGCATATTGGTCACGTGACAAATTACTGGCCGCTGCTAGGTTTACAGATGTGTTGAATCTCAGGTATTACATTGTTTTTAACATTTACTTACAAATAACATCCTTGATGTTTAGTTGACTCGTGTTTACGACGTTGTATCAAAATACGAGTTTTGAAATACTACAGTTAGGCCACACCAAATTAATGTCTCTTTCTTCGGACACTTTCCGTAAAAAAGGGTAGCAAGAGAGCGAAATTTTTTTATCTGTTTTTTTTTCGAAGTTTCATTTTTGGCAGGCGAAAGTATTTTTTACTAACGAGCGATATTATTTTTGAAATATTAAAACAATTAAATCTATGAAAAGCATTTTTTGCAAGCGAGCGATCAGAAATTTACACAGTTGTGGTGCTTCATGTTTTTATATATATCATATCCTACTTCTCATATTTCACCACTGTGCTTCTTAATATGTTCTCAGACACCCTGTTGAATCTTTTCACAACATTTCTAGTACACAGATTGTTAACTAGTAGTAACTAGTAGCAAATCATAGATAATTTCGTGTAGTCTGCTCAAATAAAGATCCAGCTGAACATGAAATAGTACAACAGCATTGAACAGGTACACATTCATGTTTGATGACAGTTATAGTTGATGCATTATACATTTAAGGTATGATTGCCATTG